ACTCTAGTTCCATCCAGGTTGCTGCGAAATTCATGATTTTGTTCTTTTTTATGGCTGCGTAGTATTCCATTGTGTATATGTACCACATTTTTTTAATCCAGTCCTCTTTTGATGGACAGCATGGTTGCTTAAATTCTGGATCCCTTCTTGTGTGTGTCATGGTTGTTTAAAGCTTATATTTTTTATAGATAGGCCTTACACAAAGTTAGCATTATAAAGTAATTTTAATAACAAAGACTTTGATTTTCTTAATTCATTTTGAATAGATTGAATAGCTAAAGAAATTTGAGGATGTAGGTTTTTTGCACAAGAGAAAGGGAAATTCCTAGTAGAATAAAGTCTCATACATGTTTTTTATTTTTATTCTTTGTTCTCTAGCAACTGGCAGGGCATGGTGCTCATGTCTGTACTCTGAGCACTTTGGGAGGCCAGAGTGGGAGGATCATTTGACCCCAAGAGTTCAAGACCAGCTTGGGCAACATAGTGAGACTTTGTTTTTACACAAAAAGTCAAAAAAGGAAAAAAAGAAACTGGAATCAGTGTACTTTATAGGTGGATTATGACATTCCCTCTTTTCTGTTCTCCTTTCTGTTGGCACTCTTGGCACTCAGAGACATCTCATGGATTAATTACCAGCCATTCGACTGCCTAAACCTAATCTCTTCAATATTTAAATAATATAGTGTTGGAACTAATTATTTTTTTTGAGTTGGAGTTTCATTTTGTCACCCAGACTGGAGTGCACTGGCACACTCACAGCCACCGCAGCCTTGACCTGCTGGGCTCAGGCGATCCTTCTGCCTCAGCCTTCTAAGCAGCTGGAACCACAGGCACACGCTACCATGCCTGGCTAATTTATTTATTTATTTATTGTAGAGATAAGGTCTCGCCAAGTTGCCTAGGCTGGTCTTGAACCATGGGCTCAGGTAATCCTCTCACCTCAGCCTCCTAAAGTGCTGAGATTACAGGCGTAAGGCACTGCGCACGGCTAACCAATTATTTTGTTGTAATGATATTTAGCTTATAATGGAATTTTGGATATTGAAGAACTTATTTATGACCAAAAAAAATCAACATTTTTTAATCCTATATGTTTCTAACACGTGGTAACGTGTGAAACAGTCACTGACATACATTGCAGGCTCACTGATACATGTTGTACAGTAGTAATTTTTTTGATGTCTTCCACCTTGTGTTTTTCTATTTGAGCAATGTAGTCTCGTTTTCTTCCTCACACATTAATAATATGTAATTTGTTGTCCACTCTGTGCACCACTGTGAAAACACTTCACATATTCTCTTTCTGTGTAATGCCAGCTGATATTTTTTTTACATATGTTGGTATATATTCCATGTCTTTATTTACTTTTTCATGCAATTTGAATGTAAAACTGCAAGGAAATATACGTTTTTGAAAAATTTGCACTGGCATAAGTTTGTCCTGTATAATCACCAGCAATCTCTTTATGTCCCCTGAGAGGGGACATTTGAGTGGTTTGCTAGATTTATGAGGTCCCATGAGAGGAGACTTTTGATTGCAAAGGGTTAAAATATGTGGAATACAGCTGCCAGGTTATCTTTAGGGGAATAGCCAAATTAGAGGCAGTCATTAATTTATTTGTGTGGTTTTGGCAACAGGAGAGAAGGACACATTTTATAACTTTTGAGATTCCTGAAACTTTCAAGACCATGGTTAACACATTAGTGCTATGTATTACTAATTATTATTAATGTGAGCAGATAACAAACTTAAATTCTTCATCTTATTTTTCTTTAAGCCAAGGGAAGAGATGGTGTTGAGTGGAAAATACAAATCGGGGGAACAAACCCTCCGTCTGGCCAATGAGAGATTTGCTGTTCCAGAAATACTCTTTAACCCTTCTGACATAGGCATTCAAGAAATGGGGATTCCAGAAGCAACTGTCTATTCTATTCAGAACCTACCTGAAGGTACATAAACAATTATAGTAAAATGCTGAAGAATAATGATGTTTTTCAGAAAGTTACAAGCTCTATGAACCCTGCTTCTTCTAAATAATATCAGGCAAATGGCAAGTCTTTTATCTTCAGAGACTTCCAGATCCTATAATACACTTAAATCTTATTTTTTCTTTTTGAGTTGGAGTCTCACTCTGTCGCCCAGACTGGAGTGCAGTAATATCCTCATGGCCACTGTAGCTTTGACCAGCTGGGCTCAAGTAGCTGGAACTACAGGTGTGCCATACCATGCTCAGCTAATTTTTTGATTTATTGTAGAGATGAGGCCTTGTCACATTGCCTAGGCTGGTCTTGAACCCTTGGGTTCAGGCAGACCTCTCACCTCAGCCTCCCAAAGTGCTGGGATTACAGGCGAGAGCCTCTGTGCCTAGCCAACTCATTCTTACTTGATTTCTTTTGGATTATAAATGTTATATAGGAGAAGTCATTATGATTCATTTAAACCTGAAGAAATTCATTCCTCCATGAGTATTGAATTGATTTATCCATTCTAGAAGTTTTTTTTTTTCTTTTTTAGTCAGACTCTCACTCTGTCACCCAGGCTGGATGCTCACTCTGTCACCAGTGGCATGCTCATGGCGACCGCAGCTTTGACCTGCTAAGCTCAGGTTCAGGCAATCCTTCCACCCCAACCTTTTTTTATTTTATTTTATTTTTTGAGTTGGAGTCTCACTCAGTCGCCCAGACTGGAGTACAGTGGCCGCTCTCAGCCACCGCAGCCTCAATTTGCTGGGGCTCTGGTGATCCTTCTGCCTCAGCTTTCCAGGTAGTTGGAACTACAGGCGTGTGCTACCACGCCCGGCTAATTTTGTGTATTTATTGTAGAGATGAGGTCTCACCAAGTTGCCCACACCCCAGCCTTACAAGTAGCTGGAACTACAGGCACATGTCACTATGCCCAGCTCTTTTCTTTTTTCTATTTATTGTAGAGACGAGGTCTCACCAAGTTACCCCGGTTGGCTTCAAACCCCTGGATTCAGGCAATCCTCTAGCCTCAGCCTCCCAAAGTGCTAGGGTTACAGTCTTGAGTCACCGCATCTGGCTCCATTTTAGAAGTTTTTATTTAACCCAAATCTGCAGAGAGTAGAAATTTACAGATTAACAACTTAGCCAGGTGCAGTGGCTCAAACCTATAGTCCCAGCACTTTGGGAGGCTGAGGTGAGAGGATTGCCTGAGTCTGTGGGTTCAAGACCAGCCTGGGCAACATGGTCAGACCTTGTCTCTACAATAAATTAAAAAAAAAAAAAATTTACCTGGCTGTGGTAGTGTGTGCCTGTAGTTCTGGCTACTTGGGAGGCTGAGGCGGAAGTATCGCTGGAGCCCATCAGGTCAATGCTGGGGTGATCATGAGTGTGCCACTGCACTCCAGCCTGGACTACAGAATGAGACTCCAACTCAAAAAAAAAAAGTAATAGACAACTTAATGGTTTTTAGCTGTTAATGGACTGACTGATTCTTTCTGATATACTTGGACTAACATACAAGACTAATTTTAACGAGATAGGGATGTGGTGCTTCAAGTGATTTCCGGGTTCTCCTAAAGCTTGACTTAAGTAAGTAATGCTCTAGTTTTTTATTTTTTTGTTTTTTATTTTTTGAGTTGGAGTCTCACTCTGTCACCCAGGCTGGCGTGCAGTGACTTGTTCACAGCCACCACAGCCTCGACCTGCTGGGCTCCGGTGATCCTTCCATCTCAGCCTTCCAAGTAGCTGGAACTACAGGCACACACCACCATGCCTGGCTAATTTCTTGATTTATTGTAGAAACGAGGTCTTGCCAAGTTGTCTGAGCTGGTCTCGAACCCGTGAGCTCAGGCAGTCCTCTCACCTCAGCCTCCCAAAGTGCTGGGATTGTAGGCATAATCCACCGCACCTGGCTGTTCTAGAATTTTATTGGAGTACTTTTAGATCCTGTCTTCCTGGTTCATAAGGAAAGTATAGGCATTGATTAAAGCCTACCATATGCAATGTGCTTTTCTCTCACTTAGGAGAAACTGAAAAAAGTCACATAATGCTGTAATCTTAACCTATTATCTCACAGCTATTGTCATACTAATTTCATTTTATGTAAAATTGCAGTCATAATATATAAACCATTTTGTACTACAGTGTTTTGATGTCGAGACTCATTGTCCATGTAAGGGAACTCGGCCCTTGTTTTGGTGAACAGAAGCATTTGGGATGGCCACTATTTGTAACTGTTGCTCCTGATGGATTTCTCAGTGGTGCATTGTAGATCTTTTTTTTTTAAGAGACAGGGTCTTGCTATGTTGCCCAAGCTGGACTAGACTCAAATTCCTATGCTCAAACAATCTTACTTCCTCAGCCTCCTGAGTGGCTTGGACTGTAGGCTTTTAAAACTGACTGACCTTATGGAACTTAATGTCTGCCACTGTGTAACTTGAATGAGTGCTCATACTTAGATCTCTTCTTTAAGTGTTATAGATTATGAGTATTTTTCACTATCAATGGCAAGTATTACACAATAAATAAGCCTGTTTCAGTGAGATGACACGGAAATTTGAGCTCGTAATAAAATGTCATACAAGACCTCTTTTTTATCCTCACAATAGCTCACAGTCCCAGCCTGCAGCAAGACCCTCTCCATTTTAGGGCAGAATGATTGTTAAGATCAAATGTCTGTTATTAGAATGTCATTTATGTTTGCATGAGTATACAGTAAGTAGCCAGTAGTTCACCTTCCTCACCCTAGCTGTTTATTTTAAATATCTGTGAGGTTGTATTTCACTGCTTAATATCTGTTTGTAAACTATGACCCACTACAAATCTTAAAATGGACCTCCAAAATTATTTTGTTCCCCAACCAGTTACCATCACCTCTAATTGCTTATTACCTAATCCCTCATTTGTGTCTTTCTAGAAGATTTTGTAATGCCTTTTTCCTCTCCCTTTCTCCTATTTTTCTTTCAAAGAAATGCAGCCACATTTTTTTAAGAACATCGTTCTGACAGGAGGAAATTCCCTTTTCCCAGGATTTAGGGATCGGGTTTACTCAGAAGTTCGGTGTCTTACTCCAACAGATTATGATGTTTCTGTCGTGCTGCCTGAAAAGTAAGTATTGGTTTAGAAACAAAACCTGGAAGTCATCTTGTAGAAAAGGTGGTCTGTAGGCAGGCTTGAGCTGAAGCCTGCTTCTACCATATTGACAGGTTTATTTCACCTGTTGGCTATTCATTTTCCTTCTCAGAAGTTGAAATGATAAACCTTACATTTCAGTGACATACATAGGATGGAAGTATATAAAGTGCCACCCATACTTTTTGGTGCATAATGGGTGCTCACATAACATGTGATCATGTCCATATAGTGACTCTCACCTTGTTCCTAAGAGATTTTTTTTTTTGAGTCAGGGTCTCACTGTGTTGCCCAGAATGGAGTGCAGTGCGTGGTCATGACTTTCATGGCTCACTGCAGCCTTGATCTTTGGGGCTTAGACAATCCTTCTGCCTCAGCATCTCAAGTAGCTGGGACTACAGGCGTGTGTCATCACACCTGGCTAACTATTTTTATTTTTTGTAGAGACAGGGTTTTGCTATGTTGCCCAGGCTGGTCTTGAACTTCAGGGCTCAAACAGTCTGCCTATCTTGGTCTCCCAAAGTGCTGGGATTACAGGTGTGAGCCATTGTGCCCAGCCCTAAGAGATTTTTATAGGCAAAGCAATCAGGCGGTTATTGTTTGATTTATCTGAAACGTGTCATTTCTTGCCGGAGTCCAGCTCCAGCGGGTCATGTTTTCCTGAAAGAGGGATGACGTCGGCGCAGGAGAAAAAACTTGGACACTGACTCTGTTTGCAAACAGGACAAATGCCGATTTATTGTCTTTTCCAACTCCTTTTGTAGCCTACATGTTTTTTGTTTTCAAGGCAATCAGTTACAATTTAATGGACCAGACAGGCAATGTATCTTTGTCCATCCTGTTTTGATCTTAAAACATTATCATCCTAAACATTAACTATAAATTTTATAAACTTCTAACATTTTTTAATGATTACCATTTCTTAATGTCCATACAAAAACTTACTTATTCCTATAACTATTATATTATAAATCACTACCAAGTTCTAAGCACTATAATTATCACATAGATTAACAAGTCACACCTGTGACCTTCACACAACAATTTGCAACTAGCTGGGGTAAAACAACATTTTTAAGGTTTATTGGCCGCAAGTTGGCCTGCTAGTTTTCCCTAATTTCATACCTGGTGTTTACAATCTGTGTTAATTATTTCCTGCCAGGGAGAATGAGCTTCAACGTTTGCAAAACAAAAGGCCTCTCGGGCTCAAGTCACGTTAGTCACAATCCCTAACCAAAATTACAAGCCTCCTTAGCAAAGGGAAATAAAGGCAAGGGTGTTCTAATATTTATGTGTTTGTTAATTTTTTAAGCATAATACACCACATGTAGAAATTAAGAAATTAAGTAAATGTAATATTTGCATTGGCACTCTTCCTAAAAATACAAACTGTAGCTTCTCCAATTTCTCCAATTAGTTGCCAATCAGAAGAAATAAAATCTTACAAGTAATTATCTACCCGCACATGATATTTAAAATCTCTATTGATAATTTCCTGGCAAGGCCAGTGAGTTCCCTGACAAACATTCAAACGAGCACTTTCTGATTTTTTACAATTTTCCCAACTACAATGTTTAATCAAGTGATTGCATGGTTTAATACCAGGAGGGCGGGGACATGGAAACCTAGGGAGGAATTCAAATGAAGGGAAGATAATTTTTCATGAATTCCCCTCTTGCCTTTTTTGCAAGGGGTAGTGGAGGTGTGAGTGGAATTTTACTTTCTGTCCTCGGACTGTACAGAACCTTTTGACTGCACTAATAACAAAAGTAGGAGAAGCAAGGGTCTCAGCTGCCCAGGTTCGCTTTGCGACCCAGGGTCTTCAGCCCCCCGGGACTTTGTCAGCAGGCAGGCCTCCATGGCTGGCTCCCAACAATTTCTTGACCCTTTCTATCAAGAGTAGAAATTTAAGAATTGAACCATTAAGATAAGTGATATCAGGCTGGGTGTGGTAGCTCAGCCTGTAATCCCAGCACTTTGGGAGGCCGTGGTGAGTGGATTACCTAAGCCCACGTGATTGAGACCAGCCCAGGCAACTTGGTGAGATCTCGTCTCTACAATAAATCAAAAAGTAAGCCAGGTGTGGTAGCGCATGCCTGTAGTTTCAGATACTTGGAGGACTGAGATGGAAGGATCACCAGAGCCCAGCAGGTCGAGGCTGCAGTGGCCGTGAGCATGCTACTGCACTCAGTCTGGGCAACAGAGTAAGACTTCAACTAAAATAAAAAATAAAAAAAAGATAAGTGATATCAATTCAGAAGTTGTTTGGGAATTTTAAAAGATTCTCAATATTTTTTAGCTTGGCATGGTGGCACGTGCCTATAGTCCCAGTTACTCAGGAGGCTGAGGCAGAGGGATCACTTAAGCCCAGGAGGTACAGACTGTGTTGAGCCGTGATTGTGCCACTGCACTCTAGCCTGGGCAACAGAGTGAGATCCTGACTCCAAAAAACAAAATTCTAAGTGCCTTTACTAACTATTCTTTTTAAATTTTTTTATTCAAAACTCTTTTATATCTACCCTCTGCCCTATTTTATGAGAAAAAGCAGGTATCATTTCCACTTTAGTGGTAAAAAACTAAGGTAGAGGTTTAGAGCTCTCAAAACAGCTTATAGAGCATGTATAACGTTTTATTTTGTAAATAAAGAAACAAGGGCTCGTGAGTTGGCAAACACTTGACGGTGAGTTAATAGCAGTGACTAGGTTAAAACACAATTCTCACCCTTGAGTAAGGAGTTATTACCAAAATGTACGTTTTAAAAACCCACTCTTAGTGGCAGAGTTGCAAAAAGGTCTCACATACTGATATTAGTTCTAGTTTTGTTTCAAAGCTAAAGTAGAATTTTTCAAAGTCAATAGCTGTTAATAGCAGGCCTTTGTCTGTATCACTTTATTTTATTAGCTGTTAGATAACCAAATAAACAACTTTTAAATATTGGAATGGTTCTCCTCACCATTAATGTTCATGTGCTCCTTAGAATAGGAAGCATATTGGATCCGTATCCTGTACAGATTATAGGCAAGGGTCCACAGAAATAGGTTTTATTCTTTTATTCAGTATGTTTTTATTATGCACCTACTGCTTTTATATATTTAAACATAGTTTATATATTTATATATATAAATATTTTTGTAAAAGGTTAATGCAGGCCAGGCGCGGTGGCTCAAGCTTGTAATTCCAGCACTTTGGGAGGCCAAGGTGAGAGGAGTGCCTGAGCTCAGGGGTTCGAGACCTGCCTGGGCAGTTTGGTGAGACCTCATCTCTACCGTAAATAAAAAAATTAGCCGAGCATGGTAGCGTGTGCCTATGGTTCCAGCTTCTTGGAAGGCTGAGGCAGAAGGATCGCTGGAGCCCAGCAGGTCGAGGCTGCGGTGGCCGTGAGCATGCCACTGCACTCTAGCCTGGGCGACAGAGTGAGACTCCAACTCTAAAAAAAGAAAAAGAAAAAAGGTTAATGCAAGTGCAATTAATACAGGAAGGAAAGCATTTATTTATGAATTGTTTTCTTTGCCTTTTTCAGATTTGAGACTGAATTGGGGGGAGAGGAACAGTAGAACTAGAACTGAGTCATAAAATGAAGTATAACCTTGGTTGTACTAAATGTTTTCTCTGCTCTGATTTTCCCTATTATCTGTGTCCTCTCATGTAACTGTTATACACTGTGCTTTCTAAATGTTTCATTTATTAAAGGCAACAAAGTGTAGCAGCAAAAGTGCAGACTGTGAAATAGTTCTGGTTAAAGCCTAGTTCCAGACTAAGTCCAAGCTGGACCTCATTTTCTAGAGCTATAAAGTGGAAGTTGTAACAGCTATTTCATTAGTGATTATGAGAATTAATGAGATGATATATCAATGCCACAGATTTTAGACTCACTTATGACACTGTTTTTCCTCTTAGCTGTCTTTCTATCTTTTGCTTGTATTCCTGTTTTTCATTTAGAAGTAGAGGGCCTGTAAATTCAGGTCTAGGGACAAAAGAGCAAGTACTATGTTGTGGGAATGACCGGGCTTCTTCCTTCCTTTTGAGTTTGTTCTACTCATGGGGAACTTAATGCGTTTTTGTTTTTGTTTTTTTTTGAGTCAGAGTCTTACTCTGTCACCCAGGCTGGAGTTCCGTGGCACGCTCATGGCCACTGCAGCTTTGACCTACTGGGCTTAGGTGATCCTTCTGTCTCAGTCTTCCAAGTAGCTGGAACCACAGGTGCGTGCCACCAATGCCCGGCTAATTTTTTGACTTATTATAGAAACGAGGTCTTGCCAAGTTGCCCAGGCCGGTCTCAAACCTGTGGGCTCAGGCAGTCCTCTGCCTCGGCCTCCCAGAATGCCGGGATTACAGGTGTGAGCCACTATGCCTGGCTATTTTTATACCTTAAATGGTTTTCTGTTAAATTGAGTTGAGTAGAGCTTGCCACATTTAGTCAGTAATTGGTGTTGTAGGATTTCAGTTGTACTGTAAAATCATCTGGATTCACTTATTTTTATCTTTATTTTTAGCCCTATTACTTATGCCTGGGAAGGTGGAAAATTGATATCAGAGAACGATGATTTTGAAGATATGGTGGTTACAAGAGAAGATTATGAAGAAAATGGACATAGCGTCTGTGAAGAGAAATTTGATATTTAAGAAACTTTTTGAATGAGTCTTGACTGAGAGGTTTAATTTCAGTGTTCCTTTTAAAAAAAAGAACTGTGTTACCTTTATCCTAAGAAAAAAGACTTGTCTTTATGTAAACACTTTGATCCATTGCTCATTTTCAAAGCCTTCCTAGCTGGGTGAGTTAAACTAACTCAGCCCTGTTTTCATTTAAGGACTAGACTACTCCAACAGTGCTTCTGCTGTGTCTAAGAGTAGATTGTTTTTCATCAGAAGCTGAAAGGGTGAATGCATTTTAAATTTAATTCTTCATACCTGAAGGTACAAACTTAACTGTCTTCGCTGGTTAGTTTTCCTTAGAAGCTAGTTTTGTGTGACTGTGACTAGGACTTTTAAATAAAGTGTTTTATTTTAAAATGTTTCTTATTTATACATACTAAAGTTGGAACGACTAATCTTATGCACGCATAATTTCTTTTTAACTTAGAGTAAGCTTGAAAGGGTGGAAACTAAAGCTAATTTTTTTAAGCTAATAAAGTTTTTTGGTCATTACTGTGTTGGCAGAAATATATTATTTCCCTCATAAAGGTACTATCCTTTTTTTTTTGGAGTCAGGGTCTCACTCTGTAGCCCAGGCTGGAGTACAGTGGCATGATCACAGCTCACTGCAGCCTTGACCTCCTGGGCTCAGGCGATCTTTCTGCCTTTGCCTTTTGAGTAACTGGGACTACAGGCATGTGCTACTATGCCCAGCCAATTTTTGTCATTTTGTCTCACTATGTTGCCCAGGCTGGTCACAAACTCCTGGGCTCAAGTGATCTTCCCTGTCTCAGCCTTCCAAAGTGCTGGGATTATAGGTTTGCACCACCGTGCTGAACTCAAGTAATGTGCTATTTTATAGGATGAAAAGAAATTTGGGGCCAGAAATGGTAGTCCACACATATAATCCCAGCACTTTGGGGGGCCAAGGTGGGAACCTCACTTGAGGTCAGGAGCTCGAGGCCAGTCTGAGCAACATAGTGATACCCTTTTCATACAGATAAAAAATTCGCCAGGCATGGTGGTACACGCTTGTAGTCCTAGCTACCTGGGAAGCTGAGGCAGGCGGGTTGCTTTAGGCCAGGAGTTTGAGGCTACAGTGAGCCTGGAGTACAGTGCTACTGCACTGCAGCCTGGTAGACTGCAATGTAGTCTAAAAAAAAAATTGAAGCTAACTCAGGGTTGTTCAAGAACTCGATTCAAGTGAGTTTCATTTCTGATACTCTTTTTAATATAATCCACAGTAAGTATATGAGGGTGTTAAGACCTCCAGTTTTCCAATTTTAGGAAACATCTGACAGTGACATCATTGAATGGATCAAGTCAGCTTTTCTTTTGAGTTGTCTTACTCTGTCACCCAGGCTGGAGTGCAGTGTCACCCTCACGGCCATTGCAGCCTCAACCTGCTGGACTCAGATGATCCTTCTGCCTCAGCCTTCCAAGTAGCTGAAACTACAGGCGTGTACCACCACACCTGGCTAGGTCAGCTTTTTGATTGCAAGCAGTAAAAACTCATCTGGGCTGTCTTCAGCAAAGGACAAAGATAGCTTATGAAACCTAAGAAAAAGCTGGAAAAAAACCAGAGTAACTAGGAATCTAAGGTGCAGAAACTGAGAGACAGTCCTCAGGCCTGCCAGGAAAGTATCTTAGCTCCTTGTTTTCTGTCTTATGTCATTGTGCTCATGAATCAAATTCCTGGCAATCTTTTCACCCTAGCCAGGATCGTGCAGTGACCCCATGGCTTGAAGGTCTTTGATGGACAGTCCTGCTAAGTTGGCCTGGAGTGGAGGAAGGTCATTTCCCAGAGGAAAACAACTGAAAAGAGGGGTGTTGGGTGGGGGCAACGGGCTGTCCAGTACCATCATATTTGGATGATACTTGGTCAGGGCCTTGTCAGTCCTTCCTAGACTTAGACTGGTTATCATTACAGAGTTGCAAAATGACAATGCTTGGGTGAGGCCCGGTTACTACCATGTAATCTGTGGGCAGTATAGCAAGAAGAGGATGGTGGCATAAAATAAGTTTTTGCAACCAAACGGTATAGCTGTGCTAGAATTTCAGGATGATGTGTTTGGAGGTAAAAAGGCAAGTCCTCATTTAGAGGGCTTTCCTTGACTTGTCAGGACTTCATCCTGGACAGGCAGAATAGTATCATCACCAGCCAGTCGTTTTCCTTTGAGGAACTGGGTCATTTCTCAAAGCTGCCTCTCCCAAACATATCCTAGTCTGATGCTTACATTTTTCCAGGAATCATGTGTATGTGTTTTCAGACACTTATTACAATAAACTTCTTTCTATACAACTTAGGTCTCAGTGCTTGTTTTTGAGACACTAAATCATTTCTGAAATTAATGAACATAGACCCTAGTTCTTTATCACTAGCACCAAAGCTTCCATCCTTTTCAACACCCACCTAGTTTTGAAACTTTGTTGCTAAATATTGCTTTAATATATTTGACTTCAAGAGAATTTTTAACATTAGCTCTAAATAGTAACATCTGAGGTGATACTTTAAAGCAGAGGTCTCGCTGGGCTCTCCGTGGGCTCAGTGGCTCAGCCTGTAATCCCAGCACTTTGGGAGGCTGAGGCGAGTGGACTGCCTGAGCCTGCGGGTTCAAGACCTCATCTCTACAATAAATTTTTTTTAAAAATTAGCCAGGCGTGGTAGCACATGCCTGTAGTTCCAGCTACTTGGAAGGCTGAGGTGGAAGGATCATCGGAGCCCAGCAGGTCGAGGCTGCGGTGGCCAGGAGCAGCCACTGCACTCCAGTCTGGGTGACAGAGTGAGACTTCAACTCAAAAAAATAAAGCAGAGGTCTCCAACCTGGGGCGCAGATTGGTACCAGTCTGTGGCCTGTTAAGAACTGGCCACGCCGGGCTCAGTGGCTCAGCATGTAATCCCGCTCTTTGGGAGGCTGAGGTGAGTGGATTGCCTGAGCCCGCGGGTTCGAGACCCACCTAGGCAACTTGGCAAGACCTCATCTCTACAATAAATCAAAAAATTAGCCGGGCGTGGTAGTGCGCGCCTGTAATTCCAGCTACCTGGAAGGCTGAGGTGGAAGGATCATCGGAGCCCAGCAGGTCGAGGCTGCAGTGGCCGCTCCCGGGTGACAGAGTGAGACTCCAGTCTGGGTGACAGTGAGACTCCAACTCAAAAAAAAAAAAGAACTGGCCACAGAGCAGGGGAGCTTTGGGTGAGACCACCATCTGTCAGATGTGTGGTGGCATTAGAGTCTCATAGGAGCATGGACCCTATGGTGAACTGCAAATACAAGGGATCTAGGTTGTACGTTCCTTATGATAATCCAATGCCTGATGGACCCTACCCTTCCCATCTGTGGAAAAACTGTCTTCCATGAAACCGGTCCCTCATGCTAAAAAAGGCTGGGGGCCGCTGCTTTAAAGCTGTCTGTTGTGTTGGGAAAATACTTTTGAATGCCACAGTGACTGCCTCAACGTAGCAAACTAATCATGCTCACCTACTTCTCTGCCTGTGGGGAGGGGATGGAGATAGATGAGAGGAATACGCAGGGTGCCCATTAAGGCTGTATGTGATGTCTTATTCCTCAAGCGGGGTATTGGGCATATGGTGTCCATTCTCTTAGAACCTATACTTTACTGTGTACATGAAATCGTTCATATTATGTTTTGTGAGAATATTTTCATTCATTTATTTTTTGAGTCAGAGTCTCTGCACCCAGGCTAGAGTGCAGTGGCACATGCATGGCTCACCAAAGCCTCAACCTCCTGGGACCAGGTTATGTCCCCCCTCAGCCTCCCGAGTAGCTGGGAACACAGGTGCACACTACCACACCTGGGTAATTTCAAAATTTTTTTTGTAGAGACAAGTTCTTGCTATGTTGCCAAGCCTGGTCTCAAAGTCCTCGTCTCAAGCAATCCTCTCACCCCAGCCTCCCTAGGTGGTGGCCTGTGTTGGCTCACAGGTATGACCACGACTCCCAGTTGGAAGATTAAATCTGTAAGTGATTCTAGAAAACACAAAGGGCCGGGCTCGGTGGCTCAGCCTGTCATCCCGCGCCTTTGGGAGGCTGAGGTGAGTGGATTGCCTGAGCCCATGGGTTTGAGACCCGCCTGGGCGGCGAGACCTCATCTCTACAATAAATTTAAAAAAAATCAGCCAGGCGTGGTAGCGCATGCCTGTAATTCCGGCTACTCGGAAGGCTGAGGCGGAAGGATTGCCGGAGCCCAGCAGGTCGAGGCTGCGGTGGCCAGGAGCAGCCACTGCACTCCAGTCTGGGCAACAGAGTGAGACTCCAACTCAAAAAAAAAAAAAAGAGAAAACACAAAGGGTGCTATTGATGTCATAGAATGTGGAGAAATTTCTAAAAGACGGAAAACAAATGAAATTAGGTTGTTTAGAGAAACAAGAGTAAGAAAACCTACATCCCACATCAGGGCAGGCGAAAACTACCAAAGAAGAAACAACAAGACCAGAGATTTTTAATCTCCTCACGAATACAGAGAGTAGATGGAGAAAGGCCGATGTGGTGGCATATGCCCGTAGTCCCAGCTACTCGAGAGACTGAGGTGGGAGGAATGCTTGATCCCGGGAGTTTGAGGCTGCCGTGAGCCATGATGGCGCCACTGCACTCCAGCCTGGGCAACAGAGCCAGACCCTGTCTCTAACAAATTTAAGAATAGATGGAGATCATGGGTGAGTCGTTCAAGGAATGAACCCTGCAGCTGAGCCTGACTCTCTTTCCTGGCATGGAGGCTCAGCAGCCAAAGGGGTTAAAGTGTAAGGTTGGAACAGATGCTGGTGAGGATGTGGAGGGAGAGGAAGGCTTCTACACGGCCGGTGGGAATGCAAACTAGTGCAACCTCCTTGGAAGACAGTGTGGCGATTTCTGAGAGAACGAGAAACTGACCTTCCGTATGACCCAGCAGTCCCCCATTGGGGGCATACCTGGAGGAGCTCGAATCATTCTACACAGAAGATACCTGCACACGCATGTTTGTTGCAGCTCTAGGCACAGTCGCGAAAACACGGGACCAACCATGTTGCCCATCGAAGCTGGACTGGATGAAAAAATGTGGTGCATACAACAATCATACTCTAAGAGAGTATAAAGACGTGGCACATACACACCGTGGAATGTTACGCAGCCATAAAGGACAGACACACGGACCTCGCGGCAAGCTGGAGGGATTTAGGGTCGATGAGACTCAGTGACCTACCACAGACACAAGAACAGAGTGCCGTACGTTCTCACTCATGCGTGGACCACACGGCGGGTATAACCCAACACTCAAACTAGAAGAAGGGGCTGGCGGTGGCCGCACCCGCCAGGCGAGGGAGGGGCACGCCCCGTCCACGAGGGGACCCGCAGAATCGGCGCTTGCGTACCTGACCCTGAATGTGCCCCACATGCTGCAGCTAAAGAAGATGAAGCATGTTTTCAAAGCCGGACGCGTCATCAAGTGCCAGCCCGGAGGAGGCGAGAGGAGGGCGCCGGAAACAGCCGCCCGTC